CTCGCTAATTAATGGCAATTTACCACCAAAGCGTATGCAATTCCCCTTATGCAAACAAATTGGTGTGATTTTTCTAAAAATCAGATGTTTATAATGTTAGTAACAGGTGAAACAGTATTTTAAGAATACTTCAGTGTTTTCTTCCAGTGCCTTCTGCAAATACACTTAATAATACTTTCTCCAAATCGGGATATATTTGCTTCAAATTTAGTTGTTATCATTTTTACAGAATATTGAGAGTGGATCTCTTTGGAAAGTGAGGAGAATCCCAGTTTACAGATCCTTCATGCTAAAAACAGGAAGTGTTTTAAGTTACAGTACATCAAAACGTAACAAACTTGCCTGCTGCAGCATGCAGACTGATGCACATTTTGGGAATGTCATTTTTGGAAACAATGAGAGGATCAGATTTCACAGATACCTGTCCATATTCAGCAATGTGGAGAGGGGGGATCTGCTGCTTGGGTAACAGCCTATCCTCCATATTACCTTACCCGGGCTTCATGCTCTGGAGAGGACACTCCTCGATTTAGAGCATGTTACCATAGTCTCTTGAGACTGAAGGATGCCTATATATATATATATATGTCCATATTCATGATAAAAAGGTATTACCTGACACTTTAATAACTCTCCCCAGGTTTAGTTTACCTATAGATATGTGTTTTTAGGCATGTACTTCCCTTGCTGATTTCTGCTGAATGTGAATGAGAGCCCAATGGTATAATTGGCCTACACTCTGGGATTTGGACTTTTTGCAAGAACACTTATTATATACCATATTTTTATTTACTATGCAGTGCTTTGTAATAAATTTTTTTTTGGTAGATGCGACTGCCCTTTTTTTCCTTTGAAGTCTTTGTACTGTTATGTAAAAACATACAGTATTGTAAATATTAACAGTCTGCCCAGTATGGTCTAGTGGACAGAGTGACGGACAAGGACTTGGGAGCCCTGGGTTTAAATGCCTTCTCAGCCATGGAACTGGTAAAAACACTCCTTAAATATCTCATTTAACTTGAAAGCCCTATTAGGGTTGCTTTAAGTTGATACTGACTTGACAGCACACAAATACTAATATTTAAAAGTAGAAAGAAAATGTCTACAGTTTCTGAATATATGGACAGACCAATTCTGTATCAATTTTATCTCTTTATACAAAGGAAAAGAAAGACTGAGTGGCTTGCTTCCAGCTGACATCAGTTCAATACCACTTGATAGCAGCAGAGAACAAATTTGCCCAATAGCAGCCTGTTATTAAGTGTAGTAATGTCTTTTAAGCCAGAAATGTTTGAACTGGAGACAGAAGCAGGAAATAGCCAGTTGGCACAGTTTCACTTCTTTCAAGACTTGCTTCCAGGCGAGTCAGTCTGTTATTTGTAGGCTCAAGCTCTTTTAATTTAATTTTCTGTATGAAAAGCACCATGTTATTACAGTATATTGTGTTGCATGCTACATTGGATATTATTTTAAATATATTAACTAAATCTTCTCCCAGAATGTTTTTATGAATTGGTCAATGCATATAAGACCTGTGCTTGCTTGTTCAGATATACTGTATCTGCCTTAAAGTACTGAAGAAAATTAACTGTTGAAGCTCTACAGGTTCTCGAAAATACAAAATCCAGATGTTCAAGAGCTTCTTTTTGGAAGTTCCAACAATCATAAACTTCAGTTTGGATCCTTTTGAAGGGACTGTTTTGTAGGATTAGTAGTTTTTCAATGTACTAATGAGGTAGTTGGCTTTGCACAGCAAAATGAGCAGATGTACTGGGCAAAGTGCTAGATACATGGCTATATGAAATGCTTGGTTTTTAAAAGCTTATGTTAGGTTTTAGCAGATGAAATTCCTGGTGTTGGGTTTGGCATTGTTAAGAGGGAAACACTGGATTTGCCATTCAGTAGAAATATACTGAACAATCACTTGAGAAAACATTAGAGCTGACAAAAATATGTGTGGTTTTAGAGTAGTGTATACCTACAGTTTTTATGGTTAAATAAACTTTTGTTCTGTAATTTTGGCTGGTTTTTGTTAACCAGGAATAATTAGATATAGAGGTGGATTTTAGTTGATTATATGTATGTTCTGCTGTTGGTCATTTGAAAAACTCAAGGACAGCACAGAATGTAAAATACAAAGGGTTCAAAGTTGGCCATTGCTGCTTTGCTGTCTGAGCTACTGTATTTGTCACCTCTGCCTTCAGAGTGATGGGGCAGTGGTAGAGCATGAAGAGGGCCTATATAGTAGTTGGGTCCCATAGAAGAAACCTAGCTTTTCCTGTTTGGGAAGTCCCTGTTTTAATCTAACTGTTGATTCCCTAAACATATTGTTAGCCAGTCGAAGACATTGGATGGGATTGAAATAATATAGAATTGGCAGATTTAAATGCTAGTCTGCATACCATGTACCCATGCTGAGGTTTTCTGAAGGAGCCTTCAGGTTTCTTGCTGTTGAAGGCCTTCCTGAATGAGACCTGTCAAGGCTCACTTGTGTGAAGACATTAGAATGTTTTGTTCCGAGGCATTCCTTGACTGAGTGTGAATCTGAATTTTTGTTCCAGTAGTATAGGTTTCTTATATATATTATTCTGTCACTTAAGAATTGCTAATATTGTATTGCCAATTGTTGATATTAGGTTAGTTCTACCGTTGCCAGATTTACAGTTTTTATCAGGAGAAAAGGCAGGAAACAAACTGAGCTATAAATATCACATGTCAAAATATATGACCAGTGTGCTGTACTCTGAGAATTTTGTAAAAGGTCTATTGAAATTGAAAGGTACACTGAAGGAATGAATCAGAATATGTTACATTTATAATAATGATAATAATAATTTGACCCTTTTCAGGTTTTCCAGGTAGAGAATACTCAGAAGTGATTTATCATTCCCTTCTACTGGGGGCATCCTGTGCTGTGTAGCTTGCCCAGGGTTACATAGGCTGGCTGTTTTGAGCGGCACAACTGCCGGCTCCACAGCCAGATACTTAAACTTCTGAGCTATCCAGCTAGCTGTTACATTTATAATTGTAATTAACTTTATTTTAGATTACCATTTGCCTTATTATTGTTGGTAATAGAAGTTGTCCTCTTTTAGTTGGGACCGGAATACAGTGCACAGGAATAAAGCACACTGAGGTTAGCTCTTGTATACTTCAAGCAAAAATGAAACAGAGAACAAGTGACCTCCCCTAGGTGGAATTCAGCTTTATATTTAGGTTAGCCAGTATGCTGTTGCAGTTAAAGAGCTGGATTGGGACAGGAGATTCATGTTTTCTTTTTCACTGTGCCATGATGCTGAGTAACCTTGGACCTGTCATTAGCTGAAGTACATTTGTAAGTTGCAACTGGAGTAGGCCCATTGAATTGGTAGGAGTTGACTCACCAAATCCCCCATTGATTAAATGAATATGTTCTAGTTGTAGATTCCTATTGGATTTCAACTACTCTCATACCCTGACCTAACTTATAGGGTTGTTGTAAGAAGAAAATAGAGAGAAAGTACATTGTTACATACCGTACATTGCTTTGAGCCTACTGGAAAGATAGATGATAAATGTAAATAACAGCTCATTGTAGTGTCTGGCTCCCATTCGCCTTGAACCAAGGAACCCCAAGTCCAAGAGAGAGTTAACTGAGAATCAAGAAACATCACCACAAGCTTAATCATTATTTGCATATCAACTTTATTTTAGGCCTTCATATCATAAAAACTAGTACACCTAGTTTTTAAATAAATTATTAATTGTGTACTTAAAAGTAGTAGTAGATTGTCTTTCATTTGTCCACATGTTTAATACACTGTAAGTTTTTTTAGAAAATAAAAGTGGCATATCCAGAAATCCAGAGAAAACTATTTTCACGTGTATTACCAGATGGGGCCAGAGACTGTGCAATGAATACTTGTTAGTGAACTCTCTCTCTCTCTCTCTCTCT